GGCAATTTCAACAGGGAGAGTATCTGGCAGGCCTTTTGGAAAACACAAAGTTGAACTGCAATAAAGAACAAATAATAAGATATTTGGCAAATAAAAAAAAAATTATTGCCACATTGTATATTAGAAGTTGTAAGCACTAACCAGATCTGGAAATAAGATTGATGTCTGGGGCAGTCAAGGAGAGATTTTTAGAAGACATAAGACTTTAATAAGGCCCTGAATGATGCACAACTTTGAACTAAAAAAAGAATGTAAAGAACATTGTAAACCAGATGTGATAGAGCAGGTGTCTGGCACCCAGGATCTACACAGAATGACTTCATCCAAATCTTCATTTGTTCACCTTCTGAGGTAAGTGCCTTAATATGTTTCACTTTTAGTTCTCCATTTTGTAAAATGATTATAATAGTTCCTCCTTCACAATGTGCTTATATAGACCATGTGAAATGAGATTAGTAGAAATGGTGACATTTTAGAATTTTCTATTGACTGTTATGATTATATTTATAATTAGTCATGTATGATGGGAGAGGATGAACCTGATATGTGTGATGGTGTAAAGCTGAGAGGGAGCAAGATTACATGCAAAATCTGTGTGACCTAAGAGGAATGGCTGCCTCTGTGATCACTGTAGGCCATCCTCCTGCTATTTTGAGGCTTTCCCTTTGATTGACATTAACATGAGCACAGACATACAAGAGGAAATGCCAGGTCTTATAAATGGAGGCACTCGTGAATATTTAGTGAAGCTGGATTCACCATGTGAATTTAGTGTTTTGATATATTTAATAGATATGTAATTGGATTATTGGTTTTTAATATATTATTAGAAAATATATTATTAAATACCTTCTACTAGAAAATATTTATCTAATCCATAATAAGTAGATACTCTGTTATGTCCTTTAGAAGGATTATCACATTTAATCATCACAATAACCCATTAAAAAGAGGATTATCATTAATCAACATAGTATAAGGACCAAAGAGGTCCTTATGTTAAATTACATTAATAATTTACCTGAAGACCAACAGTTTTTACACAGATGAAATGAGCATTTCTCAATAATCTTGTCTAGCATCATGACTCATGAGGCTGAACTTTTAACCACCAAAATATAATAAGAGTTCATGTTATCAGTTGTCAAATAGATGTTAAGAATATTTGCAGGTCAAATGAGGTGGTGCACAACTGCAATTCTATTAGCTCAGGAGGCTAAGGCAGGAGGATCTCAAATTCAAAGTGGGCCTCAATAATTGAGCAAGGCCCTAAGGAGCTTAGTAAGAACTGTCTTTAAATAAAATATATAAAGGGCTGGGGATGTGGCTTAGTGGTTGACTGTCCCTGGCATCAATTCCCAGTACCATATATGTATATATATATTTTTTTTCAGGATAATCATTGAAGATGGCCAGAATCATTCTAATGTTTTAGAGAAACTGCTTTTATAAAGTTTACTTATTTTAATAAATTCTGCCAAGTGTTCTTGTATATTCACAACTACTATATATATCTTACAAGTCAAGGCCAATTGAATAGCAGGGTTTTACTGGATATCTGGATTTTGTTCCTTGAAAGAATGAATGTAGTGGAATTTTGCCTCTTGAAAAATGGGGCAAGTAAATTGCATAGCAAACACTGTATATACCTGGTTCATTTTACACAACAACTATACCTTTAGTAATCACAGATTTTTGTCAAAGCTATTTTTAATTCTCTTAAGGTTTATAAAACAAGGACTCACAAATAAAAAAAAATTGAGAGATTATGGGTTTTTCAATATAGGAGGCCTAGGTTTGGATTTCTATTTAGCCAAGCACTGGCTTGGCAATACAAGGTTTAAATTATTTGGGTCCATTTACCTTAGTTTAAGTGCCTACAAAGCTGGACAAATAGCATTGAAGCTAATGAGATTTTTATGATTACCTGAGATAAGATATATGAAAACAGATTATAGGTAATTAAGTACTATAAAACTTCAGTGATTTGCAATGAATAAATGTTTGCTACATACTTTCAGGATGGAATTAAAGACTTTATCAAGCACAAAAAATATGGGGTAAATCTCTAGTGTCAGTACAATTAATCTGTCTCTTCATTACTCTATTGGCAAAGTCAGGCACAGGAGTTACTCAATGAATATTTTCTGTATGTAGATTGAGGGATTTTATTGTGACAGTGGTGGTGAAGAGGAATAATCTAGTATTTGAAGGATGAATAAAAATGGAAAAGAAAAGATACATGGAAAGTATAAGTTTAGTGGTAAAGAAGAAAAAGAACATATACCTTTTATTGGTTTAGAACATGACATTGGTATGAAGTAAGAGTAGTGGAAAATAAGACCCAGAAAATAAAAGGGATAGATTACCAATGGCCTTGAATGGCTGTGAATGACTGAGATCTTCAGCCAAAAATTGACAATGGCTATTATAAATATTTACTATGTATAAGGCACTATTCTAAACATCACATCTGTATTAACCTCTCTGAACCCTGCAAAATACTCTGAAACAGCTGTTTTTGTGGTTCCCATGTTTTAAGTGAAAGGGGGAGGGGAGGGAAGTACAGAAAAGGAAAAGAAAGGGTATGAAGGAAGGAGAGAGAGAAGAGAGTGAGGAAGAAGGAAAGGAAGGAGAGGGAAGGAAAAAAGGAAGGAAGGAAGATAAGAAGGGAAGGACGGAGCAAGAGTTGGAAGGAGGAGGATACATAAATCCTAACTAGCTTGTCCAGGGTAACAAAGCTAATTGATGTTGAAACTGGTATTTGAACCAGGAAATCTGGTCCTAGGTCCACTGACTTTACAAGGCAGATTTCACTGTTCTGTGGAACAGGTCGCTATTAAAATCTGATTCATCAGTGTGATTTCAGTTATCTTTTGTTGCATGATAAACTACACTAAAGCTTAGTGAACTTAAAACAAAAACTTGTTTATCATAGCTGAGTGGTTGCCCATCCGTTCAATATAGGTGCTATTGGATATAGGTCTGGAGTGACAGATGGAGTACAGAGTTTTCGCTCACAGCAGCAGTGGGCTGTGGGCAGGGAGTTTTGCTAGAACTTTAGCCTAGGAACCTTTGGGGTCTGTTCATGACCATCTGGGCTTCACAACTTGGCATCTGGATAGCAGGAAGTATTCTAAGATAAAGGAAGAAAACATTGCCAGGTATCCAGAAGCAAGGATTCTGAAGTCCCAGAAAAATGCTTTTTTCCTTCTATTGCATGTAACAATCACAAGGCTATCACAGACTCAAAAAAAAAAAGAAAGAAAGAAAGAAAAATAAAATAAAAAGAAGCTTCATCTTTCAATTAAAAATGGCCTACTTTATTAGGGAAGAAAAATATTGATGCTGGCCCTCTTTGGAAGTTATCTACATCATATACTTTTATACTAGCTGTCATCATATAAAGAGCACAGATAGTCTTTGTACTCCAGTTCATTATAATTCCTAATAACTGTATGTGGAAGGAAAAATATCTATTGCAAAACTTAAGCATTCTGTCTAGCCTTTATTTTATTAGAGGCTGCAATTCTTATTGTGTAGTACAGCAAAAGCTGTTATTTGAGCAACCGATTTTGATTTCACAGAAAATAAAATATACATATGATGGCTCAATAGTAATGACATGATTATTATAGTGGTTCACAAAGGTATTTCTAAACACTTGCTATTCCTTGCCAGTTTGTCTTTGCCATTGAGGGATCTGCTATGCTGTTATTTAATGCATTTGACAGAGGATTATAGTAGAATTAAATGCTAGTAGAAAACAAAGTTCTGTTAATGGCTCTGAATAATCTAAATGTAGAAATTATTCTAGTTCAATGGAGGATAAAATTACAGGATGTTGAATTCTTTCCAACAAGATGAATTGGGAAGATGAGATATGGAGATTAAGTGCAAAGTACTGTACAGAATTATACTGTAACACCGGAAAGAAAATTATGCAGGGAGGGTGTGAAAGAAAGGCAGAATTCTAGAACACTGAAAAGGGAATTCCAGTTCATTAACTATAGGGCTGTCATGGAGCTCACAGACTTTGTGACAGTATAGTAAAGATAAATAGTTGTAAAGACTCCTCCTATTCAGTGAGAAAATTCCTAACTACTGAAAAAGATTTTTGCATTTGTGGATGAATGGTCCTGGCTGAATACAGCTTAAATGATGGCATGCCAGTTCATTTCATCTGCTGTGAGTGTTTTTTAAAGAAAAATGGTAGACTGGTGCTACATTGTTTTCTTAAAAAGTGTGATTTGAAATCTCGAAATGTTTTCTCTATTGAATATCCATAACTACTAAAGCATTGTTATGCATTCAAATTTCACTGATTAATAAAGATCAGTATTAAATTTCTAAACCAATTGTCGGCTGATAAATTGCATGTTGAATAAAGTTTGAATAGCCACTCACTATACAGCCCCATGAATGTACTGATTATGTAAAGCACAATTAAAGATTTTCTCTATTCTAAACAAAATACACTCTATTCCATCAGTGATATAAACATATATATTACTATAGCACTGTCCTAATCAAATTTGGGGGATAAAGGGAGGCAATTTTGAGACAAAAGCTTTGTTGATGGTTTGGGGTAGATGCTCCATGGACAATTTGGTATTGTGTAACATGAGTGGCACAAGGAGGTACTATAATAGGCATAAAGACATGGTAGGGTAGGGAAGCATAATGGATCTGAAGTGCTACTGAATGTGGAAGGTCATGGGGAAAGGATACCAGACATGAAATTTTAGTAGGACATGAGTCCTACCCAGGATAAAGGGTCCAGCATGTCAAACTACCATAGTTTTTATGATCTTATATTGATGGTCACTACGCCATACTATCAGCCATGTAAGTTATGCTATGGTGTTACAGAAAACATCATGTGCTTATGATCACAGATATTATTTTTCCTATCATAAAACATACTCAGTTCAGGTCATTCACTATCCTGGTTTATTGTCATATTTTCTTTGTCATATTTTCCAGACCCATGAACCAACCTGTTTCAATGCTAGTCATCCTGGTGCATCTATTCTTAATACTCTTCAGCAGAAATGACACGCAACTTTTCTCTCAGGTTGACGTCGCCAATGTACACCCCATAGACATTCAGGATTTCCTGAAGGAAAGGACACCATGCTAAGGAAAATGGATCACAGACACAGGGTTGTTTACATCTGAATAAGAGAGGATGGCAGAATAGATCAAATAGCTAAATTCAGAAATCAGAGATTGGAGATTTAAAGTTTATTTCTATGGTTCTGATGAGAGAATCGGACATCATCATTGAATAGAACTGAAAGAAAAAAATGTGTCTTATTTGAGGTGGCAAATATTTCTGGGATTTTCTCTTCAATATTTTTGGGCCATGGTTGACCACTTGAAACTGAAACCATGAAAAACACAACTGAGAATAAGGGAGACTACGGTACTTACTATATATGAGGCTATATAGTAAAAATCATCCAGGAGTCAGATTTACTTGGTTTCCTGTAATTGTTTCACTACCAAACAAACATTATGAACAATAGTAACATTACAATGATGTGAGCATTAAATGAAATCATGTATCATTACAGTCCTATAATGGATAATGGAGTATAGCATAGAAATCAGTAGGTTTATACATGCTCTGTAAATACAGTATACTACCAAACACTAGAGTTTAATTAATTTAAGGAGAATAGGCGAGGATAAAGCATTTATTGTTTTAATCTGGCCATTTTTATTTGTACTGACTGTATATAACATGACTTAGAGATGATTATAGATCATAATTCCACAATAGAAAAGTACTCATGGTTTAAGCAATCACAATATGCACACAGATATTTCTAGAAACATTGTGAGAAAATTTTAATGAACAGACATCATGTCAATTATTTTTCAAAATTCCAAAAATGTAAGTTACCAAGAACTTTCAAAATGTATACATTACAATTTTGTATTATTTCTAGTACTACATTACCCTTAAATGATCATTATTATTCTAAAAGATTTTTATGAGGCATAGCTGAGACACTAATTCATTAAGAAAAAAAAATTAGCCATTGTAATTAGAATTCCCCTAGGCAGAAATCCAGAATTGCACTATATTTCTCAACAACAAGTTTTGATGTATAATATAAATGTTCTTTCCCAACATTGATCACAATAAAATGAAGTGTGCTAGCACTCTACTTTGCCCTGTGACTTGGTCATTCCAGGTAATAGAAGCTACATAGAATTTCCCTTGTTTTGAATGGAAACAGAAGCATCATTAGCCTCAAAAACTTTGTGAAATTCCTTCTTTTTCTTTTTTTTTTAAAGCAAGTTATTATTCTTAGTATTCAAAACCTCATCCATCTCTTTTAAACAAAAAGAAAGAAGAGAAGGCAGGGAGCTTATTTGGCAAAAAGTACAATAATTGCTCAAACTGCTTTAAAAAAAGAAATCTGCTCTGAGTCATCTGTTGATCTATCTCCACTATTTCCTCCCCTGTGGTATAGCTATTCTTTGTTTCTTTCTGTCCTGTTCCAGTGGAACAAGCTGATCCCAACATATTTAATGAGGCAAAATGTATTCTTCTAGCCATCAGATTTTCAGCTGAATAGCTTACTCCACAACAGAGACCAAATCTGTCACTTTGTAGACCCAGGAAAGTACAGAAGGCCAAGGATAATTTCTACAGGATTGAACCCTCAGGGGGCTGAGTAGATAATTTTGTATTTTTGCTGGTCGGAAATGAAAAATTTTGGCATTCTCAATTCTTTTTTCACCTGTTTTAAAAATATTATAATTCATATATTGAGTTATTTTGCCTACAATAAGCAGTTGCTATACATTTTAGCAATATCTTATAAAATTAGGAGGTACAGGAAAATTTATGAAATTTCTTTCTCAGTATTCTCCTAAGAAAGTAAAATTATTCCATAATATTCCAACCATGTTGTCCTGGACTTAGGAATGGATGTGCCATGACCTTGCTGTTTGTAATCCAAAAATTTAAAATATTGTGGGAATAATTTTACATCTGGGTAGCAGGATGACAATGTAGTTCAGATACAAATTTTCTTTCAAGTTTGTTCTTTTTCAAGGGCTTCATAATCTGTCAAGATATAGTTTTACTTTAGTTTGAAACATCTCCCATAAGTTAAAAGAAAAAATAAAAGCTAATAAAATTCTAGTGGTACCATGTTTCAATAAAATTAGTATTTTATAAGTGCAGATTTCAGTTCTTCATTTCTTACTTTGTTCAATAAAGACTCTACTTAATTGTTCAACAAATGATTTGTACATATTTTTTGCACAGAGACTTTTTTTAAAGAAATGATTTCTCTTTGTATTTCACATGGAATTAGATAAGCATCTGCAAAAAAAGCATCTAACAAAAAAAGCATCTAACAAAAAAAATAAAAATAAAATGGCATGCAAAGCAGTGACAGAAACAAAAACTAAATTCCAAACGTGCCTTCATTTTTATTCAAAATAATTAATTATTTCAAAACTTCTAAGGACCCAGGTTATCTCCAACTATGCATGCAAATATGCAGTCAGTCCTTAGTGTATGACAAAAATAAAACTCTAAAATTTACCTACTTAAAAAATTTGGGGCAAATTTATCTTTTAGGTTTCTTAGAAATTTGGAATGATTTAGAATTAGATTGTAAATAAAACCCTCTAGGCTTAAAGATCTTACACTCTATAAAAGAATAGTCAGCTATATTTCCCTAGTATTATCAATTTTCAATGGCTGTTTTAAGGGATTGAAGTATCTGAACTGAATACTTAGCTGATTTAGTAAAACGGATTTGGGGATGCATCATCTGTTCCCCCTCATTTTGTAGTTTATAAACAGACTTATCTATCCTATAACCCTCTGCTTACCATCTGCCCAAAGCCCACACACTGTGACTCTATAAACATTGCTAAGAAAGAAGTGACATTATTTAGACCTTCACATGTATCTAATTTATAATTTAAATCTGTGTGTTTGTGTGTGCATGTGCACGCACACGTGTGGAGAGAGAGAATATACATTCAGGTTATTAAATGAATTATTACTAGCCTAGCAACATATCTACACTTCAGAAATCCATGAGTTTTGTATATGTGTCTATGTTTAAATGTACACACTTAGAATACTTTTGCAAAAGGATTAATAATTCATTATACTATATACTCCGTTTTTATATACTGTCCCTATTCCCCCCATGCAAAATAGACAAGACCTAAAAATATAACAAACAAGAAATACTTCTCAGTTGTGTTTGATTCAGTGTGATATTGTTTATGTAAATATTGATTCTGGCAGTTGATAGCTGTAAAAATCAAAAATACTATTCCTAAATTCATAATAAAGTCCCAACTAAAAACAAAAAGGGGGAAATAGTGCAATGGCACTGAGTTAAGGAAAGATAAAATACCAAAACAAGACAATAAGCAACGACAGTGTAGCTCAGCCTATTGAACACTACTGTGATATTCAGTGAAACCACATTGTTTTCAGGACAATCTCTAGCCTACAAGATGATCACTCCATGAGTTTATCTTTGGCAAATGATATTTCAACAAAGAAAATTCATCCACTTACACTGGCCATAAAATCAGAAGCTGATATTTGACTCCTTCCCATCACTACTAATTATGTGACCTAATCAAGTTTATGAATCAGTAGATTCCCGTTCACTTATCTGTAGGGATAATAATACATGGTTTTCTCCAACAGTAAGAATGAGTGATCAGATAAGGTCTACATAGAATGATAGCAAATGAAAACAAATAGCATAAATGACTTTACAAAGTGAAGGGCACATAGAATATTGATAAAACCTATTAAGTAAGAGAAAGGTTTTTGCATATTTATTTGCTATATAATAGACTAAGAGAAAGGACAAGGTTGGATTTTTATACATAGATAATTCCTGATAAGTGATAGGCACTCAGTAAGTTTTTTCTTGGGTAAATTTTACAGCCTACTTCATCGAACTCATCTTCTATTACAATTTCTTTGTTATTTCAACGAGATCCACTAGGTTTTATGCTATTCTAAAGCACATTAAACTCAACCCTATATCAGGTCTTTATATTTTATATTTCCTAGACCTAAATCATTCTTTCTCCCATATATCCAAATAGATTGTTCTTCTCTTCAGTGAATTCTTTACACAAGAGGATCTTATGTTCTCAGGAGAACCTGCCCAAATCTCAACATCCAAAACAAAGTACCATAATGACACTCTGCTCAGTACATACAGTCACATGATGATTCAATAATTTTTTTTTTCTTAGTCAGTTTGACCTGCTACAACAAAATACTACATGCTGAGTAGCTTAAAACAACAGGAATTCATTTATTACACTTTTAGGGTCTTAAAAACCAAAACCTAACTCATCAAGTCATTGTCAGAATTAGTATCTCACGAGGGACAACCTTCTGGTTTATGTGTGGTGTCTTACAGGTTTGTCCTTGTTTTCGTCAGCTTTTCCTCTGCTGTGGCCCAAGATCTGACAAGAACAATTGGAAGAGAAAAAGTTTATTTTGGTTCTTACAGTTTCAGAGGTCTCAATCCATAGACAGCCACTTCCATTCCTTGGGGCTTTAGGTGAGGCAGAACATCATGGCAGAAGCATGGAGAAAAGCAGCTTGGGACTGGCCCCAGGAAACAGACAGAGATCTCTGCTGGATAAGATAAAATGTCTACCCCAAGGGATGTCCCCAGGCTCCCACCTCTTTTAGCCATACCCTACCTGCCTACAGTTGCCACCAAGCTAATACCTATCAGGGGTTTAGTGCAATGATTAGGTTAAACTTGCTAGAACACAATCATTTCTCCTCTAAACCTTCTTGTGTTGTCTTGCAAATGAACCTTTGGGGAAACCCTAATATCTAAACATAAAAGTCCTCAAATAATTGAAGAGGCAAATAACCTCCCTTGGGCTGTTGTAAGAGCTTAATTCCATTTATAAGGTGTCTACCTTCATAATCTAATCACTTCCCAATGGATTATCTCCTAATATTATCAAATTGGTGATTATATTTCAACATTAGGATTTTGAAGGACTCAAATATTTAGACTATAGAATATGAGAAGAAAAATTCCATAAACTAAAAGACTTGATCTACTTGCTTTGTCTTTT